TGCTATTAAGCGAGCACTTCCATTAAAATAATAATATGTGGGTCCCTTAACCACTGCATGAAAAAACGAATAACCAATACGCCAATAACTTATTCGGTTGGCGAAGTTCATTATTGCTATTGGCGAGCAAATCCCATCATTTCCATATCTCTTAAGACAATGCCTTGTCTATCATATGAAATAATTCCCGATTTAATTTAGCCTTTCTAAAATCACCTAGTATAGACCACTTCGTTGGGAAGCTAACACTATTAATTTTAGATTGAGTGTATAACGTTATTAAAACTCTAATGAAAAATAAAACATTAAATATCTTGTCATTATAATCTAGACTCTTTAAATCATGCGTAGGGCCTTATTTTTAAAGATCTAATTACAATGAACATTTAATATTTTAATTTTCATGAGACAACCATTCTTGTAATATTAAAACTCTTCAAATCATGCGTGGGGCCTTATTTTTGAAGATCTAATTACAATGGTGTTAATAACGAAGGCCATGGGGCAATGTATAAAAATCCAAGCTCCCACTCAATTTTTAATCATTCATAATTAGTGTTTTCAATTTATTCAAATACATGATATAATGCATGCAAAACGTCTTGATTTTAATCCAATTAAATTTAGAAAATATTTGGACTTTAAACGATTCACTAATATTTAATTTGAAGCACACTTTAAAAAAAAATAATTTATAAAAAATAATTTTGCGTTTCCCAATAAGTGTCCTTAAATTAACTAGTAATCAGATCCAATTAATTTTCATAACTTAATTAATATAAATCAAGCCATTTAAATAAATATCATGGATCCAATGCATGAATAAATAAATAACAGATAAAACAAATAAAATGGCCAATGGAATCAGCTTTTAACATTTAACTACTCTAATTATCGCGGAAAGATCATCCATCGGCTTGCAAACACCCACATAAGGCTGGTACGCACCAGGAGAAGCAAAACACCGCTTGGAACGCGCCTGTAGGGCCCCACACGCGCTTACACGCGCCTGGGGCATGCTGCAGGTGAAGGCACGCGCCCCCACGCGTTGGCACGCGCCTGGGGCGCGTGGGACACGCCCCCACGCGCTGGCACGCGCCTGGGGCGCGTGGGACACGCCCCCACGCGCTGGCATGCGCGTGGGGCGTGTGGGACGCGCCTCCACGCGCCTGCACGCGCGTGGAGGCCATACCACCTTGGCTGGCGCGTGCAATGCACGCGCCAGCATATGTCTCCTCCTGGCGCGTGTTCCTCACGCGCCAGGCTCACTCCACCTGCACCACATCTGATCCCAGCCTTCTCCGACGCCTCTTCTCACCGCCGGCGATGCTCCGGCCACCGGAAAAACGCCGAAAAATTTCAGAAAAATCAGAAAAATTCCCAGAAAATTAAATTAAGCCTAAAAAAATTCCAGAAAAATTCCAAAAAAATCAGAAAAATTCCAGAAAATTACTGAAGCATAATTTAACCTTTTTGGACCTTCTTGAAGCTTCATAGCATCCTTTGACGAAGATTACATGGCTTTAAAAATATTTACAATTTGAAATACAATGGAAAAAATTAAATTACATCATTGAACTGTCAAACGGCTAAATCAAAGCCTTAATTACATTCATCCAAAGATAAAATTACATTAATTTAACCTATAAGCTTCATCCATGGCCCAACCATACATCATCATTCATTCACAATTATTCATACATCATTATGTATCAATATATATCAACATATTAAATCATACATCAACATACATCAATAAAAATATATATGAATATAATTTTGGATCCATTAATGATGATTTTCATAAAATCATGATCTCTAGTAATGAATCAAACTATGCTCTGATACCACTGTTGGGAAACGTGCTAGTTTTAAAAACTTTTCGAGGGATTTAAATTCATAGATCTTGATTCATTACATAGAGACAAGTTTCATGCAAAAATAAAATATGATGTATCATTCAATTAAAAGATTGAATACTTACATCAAGGTTTAAGTAAACCTTAGATCTCTCCTCTAAAGTGAATGTTCTCACTTATTGTAGATCCCTTAGCAAGATGCATTCTCCTTGGATCTCCATCTTCTTGGTAATTATTTTGCCTTTAAGAATCACTCATATGCCCCCGTGAATGACCTTGGAAAACTAGGCTTGTGGGAGCCTCCATTAGATGAGAATATAAACCCTAATTTTCTAGAGAGAGAAAAGTTATTCATTTTTTTCTTCTCATCAAAATCCCCCTAAAATATACATAGATCATGTATATTTACAGGCAACATAAAGGTAAAGAAAAGGAAACAACTAATCCTTCTCAATCTCTAATTCACATGTCTCAAATCTAATATGATTCCAATATCAAGTTGGGCTATGAGTGAGAATCCATTGGGCCTATTATTTTATTGGCTACAATGAATTAATGATTGGCCCGGTCCATGGACCCAATTAAATTAATTCATAAATTAATTTCTTCTCCACTAAAAGAAATTAATTGAACTCCAATTAAATAATAAATAACCTCTAAGTAAATGTTGCACTTTGACCCCTCTATGCATAATTAGTTATCGGATAAATAATGCCATCAATCCGACTACTTAATTAATATATTTATTTTGGTACCTTTGATTATTTCTGACTCGATCACAATAAAACATTTGTTCGACAAAAATAATAATTTAATAAATAAATATATAATAAATCATTTTGTCTAAAATCATACGAAGGCCTTCGAATTTACTTTGTGATCAACCATAATCAATATAAAATAAATACAAGTAGCAATGATGCAAATATTGAAAATATAATCCTCTAACTATTAATTACATAACTACCCAAAGTGTCGGTCGAAGGATTCCGAAGAATCCGCCGAACAAATCAAAGTAATTATTAATCAATAAAAGAGTCTATAATTTTCTCATGCTTAAGAGTCAAATGCTATGACGGTGCTAGGGAGCAATTGCATATGACGGCTCTCGCAATATATCTCAACTTAACGCGGATCCAGTTCAAGTCTTAATTAATTATGAGTCCATCCATAATTACCGACTATGAACAATTTATAATTACTATTTATATATCATGCATTGATTGCCATCACATACATATATATAAATATTTCTTGTAATTACATGGACACTATCAATTTCATAGTGAATCGAAACATAATACATTGAATTCACCAATTGTATAAAACATAAATATTTCAGAAACGTCAGGAACATATGTCAATTAATCCAAACAGAAATTTGCTATGCCAAGGCATATAAATCCCAACAGTCTTGCCAGTTCCTTGGCATGCAATATGTTAGCCAATTTTGATTGTGCATTATCTGGATTCAACAGCCTTTGTTTATCCGACCAAGAACAGGAAGAGAGTGAAGAAAACATTTGGTTTATAACTACATCGTGAGACGACGTTGGGTTAAATTGAGAAGCCTAAAGTTGATTTCAGTTCAGCAAGTGATCAGAAAAGTATTACCGCAACAAAGAATTTCAGTTCAGTGAAGAGCTTCACAAGTTTCAGTTTGGGCACGTTTCTATCCGGTGAGATCAAGCAACAATTTTAGAGACCCAATTCAAAAGCACAGAGCATCAGTAGATTTCATTGGTTTCAATCTAATGGCAGGCATCCTCCGGCAGTGTTATACATAATATACACACACACACACACACACACACACACACACACACACACACACAAGCTTATAACGAGGAATGAGGAATACAACTCACAGAAATCAAAACACAGAGGTACAAACACGTAAAGGAGAAGATGAGGGTATTTTGGGAATTTCATTTAATTAATACTTGACATCAGCATATAATGTATAATATCAAGTGTGTGCGTATTATAATATGAAATTATATTAACAAAGGGATTTTAAGAATTTTAGTAAAAATAGTAGTTTACGTCATTTTTTTGATTTTTTTATATAAAAAAGTGAAAAATAACAATTTTTTTAGGTAAAAAAACTGATTTTTTTTTTTTTTGTTTTTTTAATAAAAAAGGGCCAAAAAGTTTTTTTTTTATAAAAAAAACAGGTTTTGAAAAGTGGTCTGCCAAACGAGGCCTTATGACCATTGCCCAAAATTCAAAATGTTTTGGACCGTTGATCCATTGGCCCAAGGTAAAAACTAAAAAAAAAAATGGACTCAATTCCTTAGGCGATAGCTGGGCTCATCGTCAGATACCACGAGCAATACCAAGAGCCCTTTACTGGGCGCCACTATCAGGCGAGGTTGCTGTGGCCCATAACTCTCACTTTCTTGCCAAGAAAGGCCTTTGACGAGGCCAGTGCTGATGGCCCAAGTCACTAAGATAAAATATACTCGATATGTGAAGATTTCCATAATGTCAGATAACTCTATATTGTTAATTTAATGCAATTATTCATATTAATTGTATGTTTCCTGAATAGACAAATTTACATTTCAGTAGTATGAAGTGGCAATATGTATATTATAGGGCAAAGTTATCAACAGAACCTTGTATAAACTATTTTTAAATTATTAACTATTGGATTAGAATGATTTTTTGCAATTTACGAAATGCTGAATAATTATTGGTAGTGGTGGCATTGTTGTTTGATGTTTGATTTACCTCGTAATAAACGGAGTTTGAACCGTCAATTGGGTGTAATTGGTACCATCAGTCCTTACTAAATTTAGTTTGCATTGACTTGCCAAAGAAACAGAAGAACCTGCCAAGAATTTGATCATCTTTTCCACCATTCCAAGATTTTCCACTAGGCGACGAACAAAGTGAGTCAGCTTGAATTCGACATCAATATCATTATCATACTTACGTGGATCCTCATTGCCACCTTTGCCTCCTCCAATTGTGAAAAATATTGGGATTGACTGTTAACAGTGTTTGTTTTTATAGTCATACCCAAGTCATCAATATCTTATATTCAATTATTAGAAAACAAAAAAACTGTTTTTGAAAAAAAAAAATTTTTTTTTTGAATAAAGTAAGCTTAAAGTTGAACAACACTTGGTCCGGTCTGTGGTAAAATGGGCCATACCATCTTCTTACAGGTTAAACCTGAGACGTGGAAGGAAGGGAGAGCTCCAAGAAATGCTGCTGCATCTTCCACGAAGAAAAGCCCTTTGACAATGATCACGATCATGGTTGCTGTTCCAGGAACGATGAAGGGCCCAGCACGACTCATTCTTGATTTATCTATTGGCTTCATCCTTCTTCTATCTTTATGTAAGTGTAAAATTCTTGGAAATTACTAGAATTGGCTCGGAGCTTCATTTTTCTGGCTATAGTGTATATTGTTTGAATTGTTAATGTGATTTTATATCATTTAAACAAAGCACCTATTTTCTAAAAATTTATTAAGGGTTAACCCGATATTTTCTAAAATTTTAAAAAATTTCTCTCCACAGCAAATCTGCCACCTCCATTCCCAAACCCTAAGTTTGTAGTCGTCAACACATGGGGACTGAGTTCCTCGGCATATTTTGATAAAAAAAACACCAATGTGTTCCATTCCCAGTTGATCTAGCTCCATATCAAATGTTTTTGGCCATGTTGAAGTCGGGCCAAATAGTCTATGTTTTAAAGACGAGTCGGGTATTGTTTGCTTGATTGAGTTGAGGATTAGTATGATTGATGAACTTTGATCAGGGTTGAAGATAGGGAAGAAGGAGCTATGGAGAGAGAATGTAGTCAATACTTTAATCACGAGAGAGAATGAGTTGAGGATATACACATCTATGTTATTTCAAAATAAGAAAAGTAAGAAATACTAGGTGATCTACTTACTTTTGATATGGTCTAATACACATCTATGTTATTTCAAAATAAGAAAAGTAAGAAATAAGGAAAACATAAGTAGAGATTACCTACTCACCCATGAATAGGCAAGTATTGTCCGACAAAAAATAGGATCTTTCCGTTTAACGCGTTATGACTTGGGTATGACTCATCTCTAATTTTTTTCTACTAGTGTGGACCATTTTGGTGTTGATAGGGTGGTACTGCTACTGCAGGACCCAAGATTAATATTTTTTTTCCCAAAGGTACTGGACCCAAGTATTGTCTATATAAGTAGTCATTATCTCCTCATGAAGACTCTGCATAAATGGCAATTATGGCATCATCTTCCATCTCAAAACAACTGTCTGACACTCGTATCAGTAACTTGGGCGGTTGCCCTTCTGGTAAGTTGTCTCTCTGCTTTCCAAAATTAATTATTAACTAAGAAGCCAAAAAGTTATATATATATATATTTTAAGTACAACATTTTCTGTTTATTAGCTTTGATCTGAGTACAGTATTACTATTTATCGTGAAATGTTTGTATATATATATATTAGTGCATTTAAAGGGACAGAAACAAAGCTTGATGTCAATGAGTTTTTAACCTCTAAAGTAGTCACCTTGTAATATTGTAATTAGCATGAATTTTCAACCCCTAAAAAATCAAATTGTTTGGAAAATATAAATATTATCTGGGTGGTTGATGATATATAAGATGGAAAAAGATGAGATATCAAGTGGAGAAATTTTGGTGCTGAAAAAAAGTTGGATTTTATTTGATGCTGCCTAAGGAATTTGCAGAAGTCATAATCTGTGTGTACTTTGCACAATTGTGATGCCTTTTATTTTTGTTTATTTTTCATTTTCTTCTTCTTCTTGATTGACAGTGGAAGTACTCTGACCAGAGATGATCAAATCAGTGTTTGTTGCAACTTGCATTTATAACATAATTAAATTAGAACTGACTTTTGGTCGTCAATTTATATGTATTGTGAATGAACACACACACACGCAGAATCAGAACCAAAAGCTGCGGCATCAGAGGATCTAAGAAGGTACCTGCCAGTGTACAAAGCTGCAATGAAAGGCGACTGGGAGAGTGCGAAAAAAATGTTGGCCCAAGATGAAGATGCAGTGACAGCCTATATCACTGCAAACCATGAAACACTACTCCACCGAGCAGTTGGGACAGGTAAAGCAATTCATTTTGTGGATAAGTTGGTCGGACTAATGCCAAGGGAGGCACTTGCTTTACAAAATGGCCAAAACGAGACAGCCCTCAGCGTTGCAGCCAGGTTTGGCAACACAAAAGCCGCAATTATATTGGTGAACAAAAACCCAGCTTTGCTTCAAATGAAGAACCATGATGGTTTGTTTCCAGTCCACTTGGCTGCTTTGTATGCCCACAAGGAAACTCTTTTATATTTAATGACCGCAACCAAAGACGATCACCATCCCAGTCCATATGCAGATCAATCTGGTGTTCAGCTTCTGGTTCATGTAATAGTTTCTGGATTATTCGGTCAGTAAGCTTAATTCTCTTCGAGCTAGTACTATATCCAATTTAGATCATATAATCGTTGCCACAAAATCAATTATAATATGCTAAAATCAAGAATCAAGAAATCGATCTGTACTTGATTTGATATATATGATCCGATGATGATTGGGTAATTGTACTTTTACAGACGTGGCACTGGATTTGGTTCATCATCACCCAAATTTGGCTACATTGAAACTTGAAAATGTTGACTATCCTCTGAAAGCACTCGCTAGAAAGGCATCTGCATTCCCAAGCGGATGTCAACTCAACTTTTGGCAGCGTTTCATCTATGATCGTTAGTTGATTTCTCCAGCCCAATCCTTTTTTCTTTTCTATTCACAATCTTTCTTTTGTGAACAAGAAGACTGCGAAATTGTGAATCAATATGCAGAATGGTGTTATCAGCTTTTATTTTTAAGAAGTCGACTGATTACTGCAAATACATACTAGGTGCTTTATGATCATAAAGGACTACATATATGGAGCTTAATAATCAAGGGATTATTTATAGCAGGAAACTATACAAATTTGATTAAAAGTGGAAGCGAGTGTATACTGAGTTAATTTTCTATATATTTTGACTTGAAGGTGTTCCTGTGAAGTTGGAAAACTACCCTAACAACCCAAATGCTGATGACATTGAGAATCCAGCGGACAACTGTCAACTGTTTCTTCAGATGAGTGGCAGAGGAAACTTGTTCATCTCTGGTTTGTCATAAATTTCTGTTTAATCAAATGCCCAAAAAGCAATGTTTTAAAGTTTGTCTAGCTAACTTGATTACCATACATATAGGCAATTTAAATCAATTGATTAGCAATAAGCCAATATTTCATGTCCTAGTCCATAGTCTGGAGTTTTCCTCTCAAATTATCCAACCAGTTTGTTTTCTGGTACAGTACGCCAAAAATTGAGTGTCCTACCTGCCAAAGTCATGGAATTAGGTAAGAGACAACAAAGAGTCCATTTAAGTTCACATAGTTTCAATTGAAACCTGTGACATCTTTTGTTTAATATATAAAAAGCAGTGCTGAATATCAAGCACATCCAAGAGGAAAAATTGAAGCATCATCAAGCTCTTCAACTTGTCAAATGCTTGTGCAAAGGAATATATTCATTTGGTGATTACAAGGCAATCAAGCACTTTCTCGCAGAACCAGTCATTGAGGCAGCAAGGATGGGTATTCATGAGGTTTTAGAAGAGCTTGTGGATACATTTCCTGATTCAGTTTGGTCCTCTGATGCAGATCGCCGTAAAATATTTCAAGTTGCAGTTACATCACGTAGTGAAAATGTTTTCAACCTCATATATCAGATGGGTGACCATAAGCAACACATGGCACACCTTAGAGACAGATCCGGTAACACCATATTGCACTTGGCTGGGAAATTGGCACCTGCGCATAAACTCAATCTTGTTTCTGGTGCAGCTCTGCAGATGCAGCGTGAGTTACAATGGTTTGAGGTAACGAACTTATTTCTCTTGTTCCATAGATATTTAATGGTGGTTCCTTTTTTTGCAAGAAACTTTTAGATCCCAAATCACTTTCATACCCCCAAATTTTTTAGTTGGATTGTATAAAAAATTTATTTTTCAAAATTTAAAATTGTACCTCATATAAGAAACAGAGCAAAGTTGTCCATTGTTTTAAAGTTTCGGTTATCACGCAGGAAGTGAAAAAGTTTGTCATCCCTGCCTACAATGAAATAGAAAACGACGCAAAAAAAACACCAGCAATGGTATTTAGTGAGGAACACAAGGACTTGGTAATAGAAGGTGAAAAATGGATGAAAGACACAGCAAATTCATGCACAATTGCAGCAGCACTCATTGCCACTGTAGTATTTGCAGCAGCTCTTACCGTACCAGGCGGCGACAATCCGGATGGCCTCCCAAATTTTTCCAAAGAAACTGGCTTCATAACTTTTGTCGTGTCAGATGCAATCTCTCTGTTCACATCCACAGCTTCCATGTTAATGTTCTTGTCGATTCTCACATCACGCTATGCAGAACAGGATTTTCTCTACATTTTACCCAAAAGGTTGATAATTGGACTTGTTACCTTGTTCCTCTCAATAACATCAATGATGATAACCTTCAGTGCCACGCTCTATCTTGTGTTTGGCCACAAAAAAGCCTGGATTCTTATGCCAGTGGCTGCATTAGCTTGTTTACCAGTCACCTTGTTTGTTTCCTTACAATTTCCCCTACTAGTGGATGTGATCTCTTCGACGTATGGTCCTGGCATTTTCGGTAAACAAAGTGAGCGTCCATTCTACTAAGAACACCAAAGAAGTTGGAGGAGTGAAGGTTGCAGCTACAGGTACTCTGCATCTGTACACACATAGTGATCAATGACAATATAAAGACTTAGCACATCGTGCAAATGTAGAAATAAATGTTGTATCTACTTGGTGTTCCTGAATCTATTTCCAAGAGTTAACTCTGATATTTTATCAATAATTGGTGTTTCTGCATTCATGAGGCCATAATTGCTTCTTTCTATTTGTCTCTGCTTGCATTGCCTTTTGCTGTAGAAGTTGTTGTGGCCAGTTTTCTGCTGCAAATGCAATCATGTTAAATACATGCATGGTTAGTTCACATTAGTAAAGTCTAAATTCTATCCAAATTAGAAAAATAAATAAGTTGTGCAATTAATTGTCAACCCTAATTATTTATTAGGCAAATTGCATAAAAACATCAATATTACAAAAACAACCCATTTGTATTGCAAACAGCCTCCAAACTAAATGAATCCATGACGCTAAACTGTCAGTCGTTATTAGCAACTGGAAATTACTAGAATGTCCATTATTGTGTTTAAATAAAAATATGAACTGAGAAAAATAAAAAAATAACTTATAGTAGCAATTGTTTGCAAATGGTGCACATTAATGTCATTTCTTCATTTGCTAGGTTTCAAATTAATAACACTATTGAGATGTGTAAGCAAGCAAAAAAAAAAAAAAATAAAATAAAACTTAGACTTATAGTAGCAATACTTTGCAAATGGTCCACATTAATGCCATTGCTTCATTTGCTAGGTTTCAAATTAATAGCACTATTGAGATGTGTAAGCAAGATGATATTTAGTAAATAAGTACCGTTATTTGTTATGACAAACAATTTTTGTAACACTCAGAAGCAAGCTATTACACATCATCATTTATAATGAATCTTACAAGAGTTACAAGTGTTGTAACTGTCGCAATAAATATAATTTTCCTCAATTCATATGAAAATAAAATAAAATGCATTCACCATTTTCTTGAGAAGAAAAACTGCTTAAAATTACAAGTCAATACAAGTCGTTTCATTTTGGTCTTCTGAACAAGCTAAGTGGCCCTTTCACTTAAATATCACTTCTGTAATGTCTGTGTCTTATTATAAATATAAGTGCATATGTGTATATATTTTTGTGTGTGTCTGTGTGTGTGTGTGTGGGGTGTAATTTAAAAGCAAAAGGAGAAGAGAAAATAAAAGAAAAAAAAAAATGGTGGGACCCACCATTAAACCAATTAAGGGCCAAAGAGACCACATATGATCTCATTTCTCTCTTCTCCTGCTGGTTCACACTCTCACCCTCTTTCTCTGGATTTTTTTCTTTTTCTTTGGCCACAAATCCTTGCACCTTGATTTCTCCCTCATTTCTTAGTGTTTTTAAGTGCCATTTGCGGCAAATTGAAGCCCACGGCGAGGTCTTCAAATCCATACTAGCAATTTCAGCTTTTAGCCATTCGAGGGAGTCTGAAAATTGAGACCCATTTTGAGTGTTTGAGGTGAAAATTGGGGCTTTTTATCTATTTAGAGATAGGGGTTTCTAACCCACATTTTCTTGTTCCTTTGTGAGTTAATTTCATGTAATTGTTGTTAATTTGTCCAATTGATAATAATTATCCTAGAATAATTGTGTTGTAATGTATAAAGTTCATAATCCTTTATGAATTGTTGTCTAGCATGACTAATTTGTGTAAAATCTAGCAAATTACTTGGTTGTTGTATATACGTTGATGTGTAGTTATGTGTATTAATTGACTCATGTGAAGAGCATGCCTAAATGTTGATTTTTATATGCTTATCATGCTAGATCTCGATTATATAAAAGCATATTGTAGTTTTACTAAAAAAATTCTTGTGAATCATGCTATATTAATTAAGTTAGAGTTAGTTATAGAATGATAAACTTGGACATGGCATGATGCATCCATGCACTAGCATTGGGCATGAAATGGGATTAATGTGATTTGAAATGAAAAAGAGGAATTTTGGGAATAAGTTTTGATTAAAATGGTTTTGAGAAAACCCGGTTGTTACGGGGTTACCAAAAGGCCGGTGTGTTAATATAGCCTAGAGGGAACTAGGGAGATTGCCCTAGTGTGGTTGAGCTAGCTGGGCCCAAAATGATGCCGTGGGGGTACTAAGGGTCAGGGACACTAGCCAATCCTTCTCTCGTGTTGCTGCGACGTCACCAAAGGGCGAGTTATATTAACAGTTTGAAAGTGATGGATTTGAATGTTGAAAATGGGGAGCGACATCGGCATGCATTGCATTTCATAGTATCATATTGTGTATGCTGAGATTGGATTTAATGTTGTATTTTCCCGACATAGTATGACCCCGATTCCTATTGTCCTATTCCTTGTTTGGATTCACGGGGACACAAGAGGTGTGTCTTAGGCACTACCTACTGAGCAATTTTGCTCACCCCTTTTTATTTAACATTTTTTTTTTTAGGAAACGGGAAAAAAGTGGTGGGTGACGTTCCACCACAGGCCTAAATTGGATTGGAAGATCGTTTTGCTATTTTTGTATTTAAGTCCCATTTTTTTTTTGTAAAATCTTAATTTGTTATATTTGGTATAGAGATCTGTGAACTCTTGTTATTGTAATTATATTTATGGGCTGTAATTTTATTATAAGTAGTTTAAACGTTGTAAGACATGGACTTTAGATCTTAACCATGTATTATTGGGATTGTAATCACGATATTTGGATTAAATGGTATGTGGATGCTCCACCGTGAGATGAACCATGTTGAGGCCTGATGAATGGATGAAAGGGATGCTGGAATGTATTATTTGTATTTTTATGTATTTAAGCAGGTTGTCGTAGGACCCCTTTTAGCGGAAGTCATGCCGAATTTTTTTTTATAAATGGTATCAGTTTAAGGATCGTTACAAATTTGGTATCAGAACTTTGGTTCAAAAACCATTAGGACGACGAGTAGAGGTGTAATGTTTTATAGTTTCATATATATATATATATATGTTATTAGATTTTTTTTAAAGGAAAAAATAAATGGGCCCCACCCATGTTTTAAACACACAAAAGGCCATAAGGCCATTACACGACTCCATTATTTTCTCTCTCTCTCTTTGCTGCAACCATTATGCTCTTGGCAGTTTCATTTTTTTTTTTTCTCTTTGCAACTTTAAACCTTAATCTAGTTATTTCCTTTGGGAATTTGGTAGAACATTGTGAAGCAAAGTTGGAGAGCTCGTCGAGGTGTTCAATTTGATAGGAGCCAATCACTATTTGGCCAAGCCTAGGGATTCTGAAATTAGGTCTTGGATTTGGGGATTTTGGGGGTTTTCACTTCCATTGAGCTAGGGGTGTTCTAATATACAATTTCTTGGCCTTTTGTGAATTTTTCCCCTTAAATTTGATCCTAAGCATGCTAAATTTTCATTACCTAGCTTCTTGTTGTTGTAGTTATGTGTAATTAAAATGATAACTGTGTTCCATGAGTTATTTGAGTTCATATACATGTCTATTTTCATTGCGATAAGTGAGCATACTTAATATTTGATATGTTGTATGTTATATTATTTATTTATTTATTTATTTATTGTCTTGAAAAGAAATGGATGCTATGGTTATAAATAAATAAAATAAATGAATGTTTAGAAATTCTTATTGAATTGTGATGATGATGTAAATGGAATGTGTGAAAACTTATAGTTGAATTGATAAATTGAAACACACACATTCATCCATTCATTGGGAAAGAGAAAGGGGAAAAATATTTTTTTAGAACAAACGAAATTATTTTGGGGAAAATATTTTCTAAAAATGTTGCGAAAACCGGACTCCTAGGAGGCGCCTAGTGGTCCGTGATGTTGGTGTAGTCTAGAAGGAAATGTAGTTGAGTTAATTAGGCCGGATGCGACGCCTTGGAGGTGCCTTGTGGTTGTGGATAGTTAACCAACCTTCCTTTCGTGACGCCTTGGAGGTGCCTTGGGTCGGATTACACTAATGATTTGGTTATTGAAACAGAATTGTTTCGGAAATGGGGAGTGATATTTGCATAACATTGCACTTCATGACATTGTGGTAAAATTGTGATTGGTTGATATTTGTTACATACTTGTTATTGTGGTTGAGAATGTACGTTTCCCTATGCCATGTTCCCGTTCACTTTTTATCTATTCGTTGTATGGATTCATGGGGACATAAGAAGTGTGTCCTAGACACTTCCTACTGAGCTTATGTTCACCTCATTATTTTAAACATTTTTCAGGATATGGAAAAGAGGTGGCGGACGACGATCCACCACAAGTTTAGACGAGCTTGGGGATCTATTTTATTTTTGCTATCTTTTGTATTAGAACTCTAATATTTTGTAAATGTAATATTAACTATCTTATGAGACTTTAGTTTAATTAGTATAATGTTGTAAGTTATGGACTTTTAAATTCTAACTACATTTTTTGGACTGTAAATTGATGTAACTAAAGTGTGTCCCTTGTTTAGATGAGATGGAGGAACGGGACTTTTGTATGTATGTAACCATTTTGGGAATGTAATATAATATCTGTATTGTGCGTTGGGACATGATAGGTTAGATTTAAGGCCCAGTGAGGCCATTGCATTTATTTTTGTATTTCAACAGGTTGTAGAGAAACTTTTTCTGCGGAGGTCATGCTGAAATTTTATATATATATATTTTTATTATTTTGGTATCCTTTTGGGGCGTTACAAGAGGCCTACCTAGGGTTGCATGGGAAGTCGTTTGCATAGTTTATGTGATTAATTGTTAAAGTATTTTGCTATATGAAAAAGCATGCTTAACTGTTTACTTGCTTACGTGTTTATGTGCTTGTATGCTTATATTAATGTGTTCATTGCATAGTCTTGCATGCTAAATGTTAGTATAGCATCCTTTTATGTTGAGTTGTTCACGGTTGGACCTTGGTGTTATCGTTATTGAACCATTTTCTTTGTTTTATAAAACGATGTCACGGCGTGAGGAACCCAGGAAAGTTGGCTCTAGGTCAACAAGGGGTGATGTAGGCGAAAGTTCCAGCTCCAATCCAGCGGAGCCAGCTGATGAGGACACACTTCTTAGGGATTTGATTGCCCCAAGAGTTGTTCCTACAATGAGGGATAATGTGGAAACACCCATTGAAGAGGGTGAAATTTCGGCGGAACTAGTATTAAATCACTTGTTACAGAGAGCCTT